TATTTAAAGACTTTTCTGATAATATTGGTGGTGATGCTAATAGTATGATTGATTGGTTAAATTATTTCTGGTTCCTTATTTTGTATTTCTAATATTTTATTCATAGATAATAGCTCAAAAAAACCAAAATCTATTTGTGGTCCTCAGTAATCAAATGTAAAGGAGTCCCGAGACCAGAAAATCTGAGAAACACTGCTTTGGCAGACTCTGTGGAACTGGAATTTCAGAACATCCCTTTGGGCCCTGTCTTTTCTGTCATCTCTCTGCCTCATCCCCTGTTGCCTATCCTCAGGCTCTAGGAGAGCACACATACATGGAGAGCCAGCCAGGTTGACTATCACAATGGGGCAGGAGCATCAGAGTACCCGCCCTACTCCTGGACTTTGCCTCCATAACGGCTTGGCAGTAAATCTGCTGGTGGTATTCTGCAAGGGGACAGATCACAGGTGCATGGCTGGTACCCATGGTTGCAATGTATAGGACATTTTCAAGTGAGAATAGTTTTCCCTCAGATTCTATTGTAGTTGCTGTAGCTAGCAGGTCTGTATCCTGCTACCACCCTCTCAGGATCCTGCCATGGCGGGCAGGTTGTTGCACATTGGCCTAGCTTTGGCCTTGGATTCATTGCACTGCTCTCTGCAGTGAATGGAGGAGGATGCCAGAGTCAGTGCCCAGTGCCCTGAGGTCTTATACTTGGCTCTCTGGGAAGCAGGAGACCCAGAGGAGARCAGCTGAGCTCAGCACATCATGAGGGGTCCCCTCCCTCCTCTGCCTGTCTCCAGAGTCAGAACTGCCCTTTACTGACCTGTCTGGAACCATACTCTATTCAAAGTATAGTTATGTGCTACCTAACAAACAAATGTGTGGTCAACAATGGACTGCATGCATATATGAGGCGGGTCCCCTCAGATTATATTGTCTGGTGGTGTCATTGCCATCTTAGCTTGTGTAAGCACTATTTCTCAGAATGCAACTTCATTATTAAGTACAGTTCAGTGCTTTTAATATGTTCACATTGTGCATCCATCCCCATGATCTAATTTTATGTTTTTATCCACCCAGCAGGCAGCCCCCCTTCTGTATGGAATGGTCCACTAGGACCAGGAGGCAGGTGTCCTAGTTTCAGTTCACAGGAAGTTGGAGGCTCTGACCTGCCCAAGGTCTTGGATTTGAAGTCAGGTTTATCTGGTTCCAGAATGCCATTTCTTTCTGTCTTCACCATTTTCCCATTAATAGGGCCTGGCATAGGGTCCATCCTTTCCCCTGTGGGAGTTGGAGAGGGAGGTAAGGTTTCAGGTTTTAGTGCCATGCTGACCCCATTTTAGAAGACTGATAATGTACTCTTTTTTTWAAATTTTTAATTTTTATTTTAATTATTTAGTTGTTGATCAACCTTTATTTTTATTTATTTATATGTGGTGCTGAGAATAGAACCCAGTGCCTCACACTTGCTAGGCAAGTACACTATCACTTAGCCATAGCCACAGCCCCTGTACTATCTTCTTTTAAATATCTTTTTTTTGTGAATGGAACAGTACCTTTATTCATTCACTCATTTGTTTGTTTGTTTGTTTTTATGTGGTATAGTGCTGAGGATCAATGGAACCCAGTGCCTCAAATGTGCTAGGCAAGCCCTCTACCACTGAGCCACAACTGCAGCCCTCAGACTGTGCACTTTCCTTGAAGCTAAGTCACATTCCATGTGTCCTGGGATGGGACTGCAGTAGAGCAGTTTTTATTGGTTTCATGGCCCCATCATGTACACTAAAATCTACTGCAGGCATCTCAAAATATCTTTTCCATCCTCACTCTGGGAAAATCTCCAACTGGCTGCTCCCTGGAGAAGCAGCAGGAACCTCTGTGAGTCCATAAGACCAGGTGCCAGGCTGAGTGAAGGTGAAGTGTGCTGCATTCCCTGGCAGAACTGCATGAAGGGGCAAGGGAAGTGAGGCCTGGGCTCCAGTGCTGCAGTACAGAGCAGGTTTTCATTATGAGATGGACCCTGCACTGAGCAGGCCCCAAGGCCCCCTGTGCTGCTTAACCAGCCTCACAGGCAGATGGCATTTAGAGTCCAGATGTCCTCAGTCTACTGGGGATGTGGGATGTGAGGGTGGCTTTGCAGAATAGTGCTTGACCCTGTGTCTGGGAGCAGTGGGTAGGGTGAGAATTGTGTCTTGCCCCTGGGAAGTTCCCAGCCCCATCAGGTCACACACCTTTGGGAGGATGGATTATAGCTGCAGTGGGATAAAGACAGGTACCCTTTTTTTCAGGTGTCTTTAATAACTTCCTATAGAAAGGCATGGTGGGTGCTAGGTTGTTGGTCATCAGCACAGGGGCCAGTGGGTCCCTGGTGACTGGTTCTATCCCCCAGTGGACCAGGGGCATGAGTGGGTCCAGCCTCCCTCTCTTGGACACATCACCCCCTCTTTCCCCTGAGGGCTCCCCTAAGTTTGTCCCACTTCCCCCATACTTCACTAAATTCTCATTTTAAGGGACTTACTTGGTTTTTTTTTTTTAATTTTTTATTCTAACTTGTTATAGATGACAGCAGAATGCATTACAATTCATATTACACCTATAGAGACAATTTTTCATATCTCTGGTTGTATAGAAAGTATATTCACACCATTTGTGTCTTTTTTTTTTTTTTTTAGAGAGAGAGTGAGAGAGGAGAGAGAATTTTTTTAATATTTATTTTTTAGTTCTCGGCAGACACAACATCTTTGTTGGTATGTGGTGCTGAGGATCGAACCCAGGCCGCACGCATGCCAGGCAGGCGCACTACCGCTTGAGCCACATCCCCAGCCCGGGACTTACTTGTTAATGCCAGTGATAGGGATTCTAATGAACAGCTCAGAGAAGACAGGCTCATGCATGTCTTGGAGTTCCCACAGTGTCTGCTCTTGCGCCTAAGACACTCTCTCTTCTTGAGTCTGGAGCCTTCTGACTCAACAGCTGCTTTTCTGCTCTGCAAAGGCCAGGACCATTCCTTCTGGGATGGGCTTCTTAATAAAAATGCCATCAAGGAGACAATGAGCTCCATGGTCAGTTTCATCTATGAGGCCCCCATAGCCAGTAATCCAGGCCTCCCCCTACACCTTTATGGATATTACCCATACTTCTTTAGCTTCTGGAAAGCACCTCTGCCCCCTTGAACCACCCCTCAGGGCTGAGCAGTGGTCCTCCCAGCATCCTTAACACTGTGTCTGAAAATGGGTAGGAGCAGGAATTTAAGGCTCAGAAGAAATCCTTGAGGGCATCTAATACTGATTGGGAGGCTGTGTGACTCTGGAGACTGAGCTTTGTTGGCTTTCTTGATAAAATGCAGATGCTGAAGGGCTGGCCTGTGGGCTGCTCTGAGGGTTAATACTTGTGCAGGGAATGTCACCTGATTGAGAACATCAGGATTGTTCCTTCTCCATGGCCTTACTTAAGACCACCTCTTGGGCTTCTGCAGTCCCAAGAGTCTGGGAAGAGATAAATGCTCATGGAGCATGTGCCCTTGCAGGGCTCTCTCAGGACGCCTGTCTCATCCTACACTGGGTGTGTGAAGCTACACCTCACTGGACCCTTTAATAGGTGAGCCAACATTGCTACTTGAGTTCAGTGAAGAATGTTCCTTGTTTCCTGTGCTTTAGCTGAGACTATATCATCTGCCTGAAGTCTGTGGGGAGTCCAGATGCCAGATGAGCTCATGAGCCCTAGGGTCTGAGTTTTAATATGGTTTTATATTGGAAGGTACTTGGGGCATTGGTGTTTGATTTTGGGAGATCTTCATGCCACTGTCCAGATACTTCTCTCCTTATGAGGGATCTGCTCCATGTTCTCTGCTGCAGTTTAGGAAAGTAGCTGAATGGATATGGGTGTGAAGGGCTGGTCAGCRGTGTACAGCAGGCAGGGCTATGGAGAGGAGACATTGAATAGTACCAGAGCCCTGCAGCTACGTGGGTGTAGGGTCCAACTTCTCGGCTTACCATGTTTCTAAATTTTAGCCACCTTGTGGATATAAAATCATATTTCAGTGTGGTTTTGATGTATGTATGTGTGAGATGCTGGCAGTGGAAGCCAGGACCTTGCATGTGCTAGGCAAGTGCTCTACCACACCACTAAGCTACAACCACAGCCTGAAGGAGCATTTTCGTTCTTCAAAGTTTGTTTTTTTTTTTTTTTAATATTTATTTATTTGTTATTGGCGGACACAACATCTTTGTTTATATGTGGTGCTAGAGGATCGAACCCGGGCGGCACGCATGCCAGGCGAGCGCGTTACCSCTTGAGCCACATCCCCAGCCCCAAAGTTTGTTTTTAAACAGAGGTCTCAAGTGTTGCGGAGGCTGTCCTCCCAACTCCAAGGCTCCAGTATCCTCTTTGCTCAGCCTCCCTAGAAGCTGGGACTTTTAGGTGCACCATGCTGGGCTTTGGTTTTGATTTTTATTTCCATTGTGAAAAAATATTGAGCCTGCCATTTGCACTGTGTATGCTGTTGTAGCATACGATGAACTTTTTTCCTTGTTTGTATTATTACTCTCATTTGCAAAAAGAAAGTCTCATTTCAGAATGCTATTAATGGTTTGTCGTTTATAATGCTAAGTAAGAGTGAAGGCAAGGAGACCTGGCTTCCCTGCTTTTCTCCTAATACCTAAGCAGTAGGTGCTCAGGGAAGTTGGTGAAAGAAATTAGGCAAAGTGTTTAACTTGACTGACTCTATTTTTCCTTCCTGGCTCCAAAAAAGTCCAGAGACTAGGCAGACCCATATCCCATCATCCTGACTCTTTTCACAGTCATTGCATGGGTAATGTATTTGTCAAGACTGGAGAGAGGGGGTGGTGTGCAGAGGACCCAGCAGCCACAGGACTTGGGGACAGAAATCAGACCTGTGAGGTCGGGCAGGGCAAGAGTGTGTAGTGATTAGGCTTATGGGTGGCACAATGAGTGGGGATGTGCCCAAGCCTGGCCCAGCAGCTCTCACAGGCTAAGTGTGCTGCTTCTTCCCTGAACAGCTCTCCAGAGCCCTGTCCATCCTGGCCAGCCACTGAGGACCCACTTCCTTTCTCTGAGTACCAGGGGTTTGAGGTAAGAAATCTGGAATTCTTTCCCTTGGACCTGGCAGCCTCTGGTGGTGATCAGCCCCTCCATGGATGCCTGTAGGTAAGGGGAGGACTAGGTGTGACTGCTCTTCTGTGGAGCCCTGGGTCAGCTTCGCAGGACTGCTAGTCCCCAGGACTGCTGTCCTTGCCTGAGTGACTAGAAAGGTACAGAGAATGGCAGCTCTAAGCTACTGGTCCCCAGGGTAAGATGGGACCTCCCCTGTGATGAGCAGTCCAATTATTTGAGTTCTCCAAGGCACCAGCCCCAGCCTACTAACCCTGCCTCCAGAGCTAGGAGCTTGGGCACCTGAGCCAAAAGCAAGGGATCCTATGAAAAGAGGGCCTGTGTGCTAGGGCTCAGCTAGATACCTCTGAGGACATCTTGTGCAATGGCCCTCAACACAGTCCTGAACCTGAGTGGAAAGCAGGTTGATTGGGAGCTGAGTTTGTATCTGGTTTTCCCTCCAGGTCCAGAAGCAGCAAAGATGTCTAATGAGCCACCCCCTCCTTATCCTGGGGGACCTACAGCCCCACTTCTGGAGGAGAAGAATGGAGTCCCACCCACCCCAGGTAAGAATCCCTCCTCCCCAGATGCAATTGGCACCTCTACACCATTTGTTCTCCAGGATCACCCTGTGTCCCAAAGCAGTGATATCTGGCATGGCCCATGTGCTGACCACCTGAGCCTCCACTTTCTGCTTCTGTCTAGGCCGTACCTCCCCAGCTGTGATGCAGCCCCCACCAGGCATGCCACTGCCCCCTGCAGACATTGGCCCCCCACCGTACGAGCCACCAGGTCATCCAATACCTCAACCTGGCTTTGTCCCCCCCCACATGAGTGCGGATGGCACCTACATGCCTCCAGGTGAGTTTGGAAGGAGTGTTGGGACCATTAGAGCAACCAGTGTGCATCCTTCACTGTAGGCAGTTGGTGATGGGCCAGACTGTGGATGTGAGACAGGGTAGCAGGGCCCTGTGCTGGGTTTGTCAGGTTAGAAGACAGGCACTCAGGGAAGGCCCCTCAGTTACAGTGGCTCCTAATGACTGAGTGCTGTAGGACTTCTTCCTACCAGGGACTTGGCTCCTAGTAGATGTCTGGATCTCTGCCTATCTGCAGCTCTCCACAGGCCCAAGGAAGGGCCTGTGGCTCTTGTACAGGCTGCCAGGTAAGGTGGGATGACCCTCAACACACCAGGCAAAGCTATGTATGCAGGAGAGGGGTAGGAGAGAGGTGAGGCTTTTCCTACTGTGGTAGGGCCCTCATCCCTGCTGATTCTGGCTGCCTAGTCCCTTCATGCTAGAGGTGGGGGAGAGCAAAGGGAAGTCAGGTCCATGTTCCTGGCTCTCTATCACATTTATCCTGGTCCCATAGTGTGGGGACTAGAAAGGACTAGGAGAATGTGGTTGCTTGAAACAGAGCCCCGACCGCAAGTCTTCACTGGTACTCTGTGGCCCCAGGGTACAGGAAGCTTTAGGCTGCACTTAGTTGCTGGGTCCCAGGTTTTGTGTTCATGCCACTAGGGCAGGTGGCCAGCCAATGAATGACATAACCTCTCTGTTGTCTTCTGTGCCACTCAGGTTTCTACCCACCTCCAGGCTCTCACCCACCCATGGGCTACTACCCACCTGGACCCTACCCACCAGGACCCTACCCTGGCCCTGGAGGCCACACAGCCACCGTCCTGGTTCCTTCAGGGGCTGCCACCACAGTGACAGTGCTGCAGGGAGAGATCTTTGAAGGCGCACCAGTGCAGACTGTGTGTCCCCATTGCCAGCAGGCCATCACCACCAAGATCTCTTACGAGATTGGCCTGATGAACTTCGTGCTGGGTTTCTTCTGCTGCTTCATGGGGTAGGTGTGGGGTGTTCGCAGGGTTGGACCTCCAGGGCTCTGCAGACTGCCTCTGCCTCTGCCCTTCAGGCATCAGCCTTTTTCTCCCTGTCTCTGATTCAGGTGTGATCTGGGCTGCTGCTTGATCCCCTGCCTCATCAATGACTTCAAGGATGTGACACACACGTGCCCCAGCTGCAAAGCCTACATCTACACGTACAAGCGCTTGTGCTAACAGAGCTGAACTCGGACTCCCCAGCCTGTCAGTGGCCCCCTCCCCATGCTTCGCTCCCTGTGCTCGGTGGTTGCTTCTCCTCCACTTGGAGTTGGAAGCTAGGCCACCCTCCCCTGGAAGTCCTGTCCTCTTCTCCTTGCCCTACTCTGAACATCTGACTCTTCCAGCAAAAATTCTGTTGGCTTTAAGGCCAAGGGCCAGTGGATGGCAGGGGAGTAGCACTGAGCTTGTGTTTTGCTGGTTTGCTTGGTGTTTTTGATCCGGAAGATAAGCTGGAAAGGGGTCCTTATTTTTCCATTTCCGTCCAAGGTCCAGGCTCGGTCCTGACTCTCCATGGGGCCATAAGCTGCCAAAGCAGGTCCCAGCCTGAGGTCCTACAGTAGAGGCTGTACCTGGAGCCACAGTTGTTTCTGCTAGGCTGACAGTAGGGCATCATCTGGACCCAAGCAGAACAGGGTCATAAGGCCTGGGTTTGGTGTAGGGTACACTGCACCTCTAGGGTGCCAGAGGTGGGGCATGCCAGAGTTAATGATCGCCAACTCTGGCCCTCAGCACTCAGGTATGGAAATCCAGGACATCTCTCTGTCCAAGTGCCCAAGAACCCCTGGTACAAGGTAGGGAGGATGCTGGGTAAGTCTTGGCCCTGGTAACCAAGAGTGACTCATCCCCACTGTACCCCCTTTGAATTGATGTGCAGACCCCCTTTCTGGCCACACCTCTGTGAACTCCTATATTTTCTGGGGCCAGAAGGAATGCCCATGAACCCAGCCCGTCCTGTCTACCCTGTGTCCTCACTGTGTGTGGGTACAACCTTGTCCAATAGCTGCTATGTCCCAGCTGAAACAGATGGCAGATAAAAGGGGCCCCCCCTTAGAGGCACTGGGATTTACAACACCTTCACCCTTGGTTCTCTTCCTGGAAAGCACTAGGCCCTTTGCCTCACCTGACTTGCTGTTGCTGTACCTACTCCCTCTCTTTGGGACACTTCAACAGAAAGAGCTTTGGCGCTGGGATGAGGAAGGAGTGGTGGGTAATGCCCTAGTGGATAACTGTCTTGCTTGCCCAGGGCATAGACCCAGAGCTGTCTTTATTTCCTAAATGGTTTTGTCTGTAAACTTGCCCACATGGACACTGTATTCCTGCTACTGTCCCGCTCTTGGTCGCGCACTGCCACTGCATGGCCTCCTGTCACTGTGAATCGTGGCCTGGTCTCAGTTTGTAGTTTCTCATTAAATTGGCCCTTTCACTCCCCTGCCCTGACCTCTCTCTGCTCTTGCCTGGTTTCCTTCTTTTCTGAGGGAGTGGGGGGGCTATAGGTAGTGAGGAGGCAGGTAGGGGGTTGAGCCCAACTGCTTTGGGGAAACATTACGTAGACCTGCCCTGGGAACCCAGCTGTGACTAGGCCAGGGCAGAAACTGCCTTTGACAGTTTGAGAGTCAACTTTCTTTCTGATGCCGGCACCTTGGCATTCACCCTTGGGACCTGCAAATTGGAGTCTACCCATCCCAAGCTTGGGCTTGATGTCATCCTGCTCTGTAGCTCTTTTTCACTTGGATAGAGCCACTGGGTTGAGACTAATGGTCTGTAGATTAGTAGGGTACAGTCTGAGCATCCAAATTCTGGAATAGCTCTGGCCTTGGCCTGTTAAATGTGAAGGTGGTAAGTTTCAGTCCATAGTTTTTAAAAAGACTTTCACCACCATATAATCTTTTTTTTAAATAAAACTTTTTACAAGTGGTAGATTCCTACTAATAAAGATATTTAACCTCACACTTATATTTAAGAGACAGTGAATTGTTTATGTTTTTTTAAAGTAGGAAACCTTCAAAGTGTTTGAGTTAAAAAATCACAGGTCCAGATAGCCATTAGGATATCTGTGACAAAAGTGGTCAAGAGAGATTGTCTTGGGGAATGGGTGCTAGGGGATGACCAACAGTGTCAGAGAAGTACATGAGGTCAGGAGGAGAATATAGTGGGTTTTCAGGACAAGAATGTCCACATCCCCATATGGATACAATACCCATTTCCCAGTGGGTTATTAGGGTCTAGGAAATAGCTTTACTGACCCCGTGCCAAGAAGGAAGAAACATACAGAGTGCATTTTATTGAATGCTATAGCATTTACACAGACCAGGGGAGGGAACAGCCCAGGCTTGCAAATCTTTGAGAGCTCTTGACTGAGAAGGAGCTCCCAGGGCCTCTGAGGTGGACGGGATCCTGGTTTCAGCCCACCCTCACCCCCAAGTCCCCAAGAGAAGCTGAGAAGTTGAACAACACTGTTTAACCCCTCAACCCCACAGAACTCAGGCATACTGGCTAATAGGGCTTACTCCCAACAGGGCAAGGACATATTTTCCTAAGTACTGTGAAGATAGAGAATGAAGGGAATACACCTAGGGCTCAAGGTGCAGAAGCCATGAAGCAGAGGGGGTTCTGGGTTTGCCCTACTGTGCCAGCTGCTGCCAGGGTGATATCCTGTATACCTGGTATGCATCTGGCCTACAGAGAAGACGCTGTCAGGCAGAGCTAGCATCTAGCTTTTATTGGTTGCTTATTTTCTCAAACCCAGCATTTAAAAAAAGTCACCTGAGGCGGTAGTTTAGTGGGGTAGAATGGGGTAGGACAGAGGTCACTTGGGAGGACTCCAGCATGGCATGATGGGTCCTTCACATGTAGTACCAGGCCAAGAGTCCAGCAGCCAGGGCCACACCAGCAGCCAGAATGAACTGGAGACTGGGCTTCCTCAGCACAGCCATGGCTGTCCGGAAGGGGCAGCTGCTGCCCTCCAGGGCACCTGCATGTAGTGCAACAGGAGACAGGGCATCAGTGGGGGCCACTGACATGCCTGTCCCAGGAGGGAAGCATGGAATCCACAACCTACCTTTGTCTTGCTGAGCAGCATAGAAGGGGCATTTACGTACATCTCCCTTTCCGTCGTGCCCAGGGAGCCCATCCTCCAGGGTCTCTCTGGCCAAAGCAGAGCCAGCCTGGTCCAGTTCATTGAATATCTGAGGAGCACAGATAAACTGAGCCATCTTGGACTGTGCAGACTTTGCTTTTGGAGCTGATTTCCTCCCCACCTACCCCCATCCCAAATGGAGGTGGAGCAGGTGCACTTACTCAGCAGTGCCAACTAGACAATCTAGCAGCCCCGGTAGGTGGCAATACTACTGTACTTCTCCCTAATGGGAATCTGGGAAGTGTGGCCACATTTGCTGGTGGCACCCCAAGGCCGCCAATCATGATGGGTCTTCCCTGGGCACTGTTCAAAACATACCCCATGCCACCTGCCCCTGAGGACACTGAACAGCGAAACTACCAGGCCACCAGTACTTCCCCATTTCTAGTTGCTAGTCATTTTTTAGCAAGGAACAGCAAAATGGAAATGAGAAGAGCCCACAGTAGGACAGAYCCATCCTGGGAGTCCACAGTAGAGGGCTTCTGGGGACTGTTCAGCCTGGCTGATACTGAGGAATGTCAGACCACCTGTGGCTGGGGGCAGAATTAATCCTCAAGAGCTCAGCCCTAACCAAAGGCTACTTGTAAATAGTTATTCTCCTTCTTGATCCTTGGTGATAATCTGTCTCGAGCTGAATTTACCAAGCAAGACTTTTCATAGCAGTCCTTGCTAAAAAAGAAGGAAATTATCTATTCCTCAATTCTGGCATTGGCATCCTGTGATGAGATGGAAGAAGACAGCCCCACTGTTTCAGCACCCTCTTCATGCTGGGGCCTTGCCCTTCCCAACACTTATCCACAAACCTCTACCAAGCCAGGTCTCCATGCCAGAAGCTATCCACTGGGCCCATGCCCTTTGGTGACCAATTTGGTTCCATTGCCTCTCTCCAGAGAAGATACTACAGTCTATCCTCTTGCCACTGATGCCCTCCCAGGAAGCTCTGAATTTGCCCCCACTATCAAAGTGTAACCTATGCACCCAGCAATACCTGCATGTTGTACTCAAAGGCCTTGTTGGCCTCCTCCACAATCCTCTCTTTGGTCTTCAAATTCAGGTCTAGGGCATTCATCCTGGACCGGTAGAACTGTTTGAACTGCTGGGCATTGTCCACATGCTCAAACAGGTAGAACTGGGTCCCTTCCCCTGTGCTGGGGAGTTTCAGTGCCCGCTGGGCCACCTTCTTCAGCACCTGGCCTCCTGAGAGGTCTCCCATGTATCGGGTGTATGCATGGGCCACCAGCAGCTCTGGCTCATTCTGCCCTATATAGTGGATCCGCTCTACATACTTCTGGGCAGCCTCAGAGCACTTCACCAGCTCCTCCCAGTTTTCACCAAAGAAGTACTCCATGTCCTTGGTCAGTGCCTCCTTTCGGTGCAGCTCCGTGGGGAAGTACAAGGGGGCAAAGGCTGGGTGGTCCTTGTTGCGGTCCATTTCCTCCTCAAGGGCTGAGTATGTGAAGTAAAGTGCAGTTGTAGCCAGCTGTGGGGGTGACAGGAGACCACAGGAAAAAACTGCAGGCCAAACTGGCAACTCCCAAAGCAACACCCCTTTCTAGTCCCAACACCCAAATGTGACCTATTTTTATATAGTGAATTAGTTAATACACCCAGGAAGCTTTTGTGTTTCTAAAAGGAAAAATATGGTGAAGTCTTTGAAACACCTACTTTTTGCTTCCTTTACATTACTATGTTATTCCATTTAAGCCAGGAAAACCACAGCTTAACACTAAGAAAAACTGAACATGGTATTCCCTCAGAATAGTTCTGAGGGCACTCAAACCCATCCCCATATGAAAGTCTGGAACCCAATCTTATCTGACTGAGGGCACAAACCTTAAATAGCTCTTTCTTAATGTTGCCTTTCAAGAAATCCTTGACAAACTGGGTGTTTTCTGCCCGGTCATGTGCTTCCTTGGTCCCTTCCTTGAGAAGCTCAGAGAGGTCAGCCATTCTGCAGAGATCAGATGTGTGTGTGAGAGCCCTTCCTAATTCCCCAGAAAAGATCACAGAAAAAAGTCCAGATCCCAGGGCAACTACTTGCTGAACTGTAGGCAGAGGCTGCTCCAACACTTCTGCATAAACAGCAGGGGCCACAGGGCAAGCAGACAGTCTGCTCAGGAAACATATAGGTAGACTGTGGCCTCCACAAGACTCTAGGTCTAAGTGTCTTATGCTAGGAACCACCCAAATGAATGACGTTTTGATTCTGTGGCCACCTAGTGTCCAAAGAAATTCACACCTCTTATCCCACCAGTTTGCTGGCTTCTCCAAGAACATGCTCCCCTGTGGAAATACGGATCTTCTGAGGCAGCCCTGCTGCCTTCCTACCACCATGTGTCCAGTCTCTTCAGGACTATATGTGGCTCCATGCATAGGAGGATGAGAAGAAAACAACTGAGAGGCTGGGGCCAAATGCTTGGATTTGTGTTTCTTAACAAAATCACACAAGAAAACCAGACACAGTGGCACATGCCTATAATTCCAGCTCCTTGGGAGGCTAAGGCAGGAGAATCAAGTTTGAGGCAGCCCAGGCAACTTTGAAAAACCTTGTCTCAAAATAAAAAAGGGGACTGGGGATATAACTCAGTTGGTAAAGTGCTTGCCTAGCATGTACAAGACCATGGGTTTAATCCCCAGCASCACACACCCCMAAAAAAAAGATAGATAGATAGCAGCAGAGGACTAGGGATATAGTCCAGTGGTAAATACTTGTCTAGTAATTGAGAGGCTCTGGGTTCAATCCCGAGCACCACATACACATACATACAAATCACACAGTAGAAATTGTGCTGATAGATGACAAGGTAGAAAATATGACCATAAAGATGATGGCATCTGGGCAGGGCTCACACATTCATGTATTAGAGTGAGAAAAACTTGGCCTGGGGGCTGGGATTGTGGCTCAGTGGTAGAGTGCTTGCCTAGCACTTGTGAGGCACTGGGTTTGATTCTCAGCACCACATTAAAGGTCCATCAACATCTTTAAAAAAAAAAACAAAACTTGGCCTTACAATTTCAAAGCCAGCCCCAGCAACTTAGCAAAGCCCTAAAACAACTTAGAGACTCGTTCTCTAAATAAAATACAAAAAAGGGCTGGGGATGTGACTAAATGGTTAAGCACCCCTGGGTTAAATTCCTGGATCCAAAAAGGGTGGGGATGGGCTGAGGATGTAGTTCAGTAGTAGGGTGCTTTCCAAACGTGTGAGGCCCTGGGTTCAATGCCTAATACTGGAGGGTTGGGGAAGCCAATGACAAGGCTCATCAGGGCTCTAACAAAGGGCTAAGAACAGTACAGAGCAGA